TATGTAACAGAATAATAGAGAAGCATTGTTGCGATGACATGCTGAAGGCAGATTTTAGGAAGAGTCACAGCTTCTTGAAAAGACAGGCCCAATTTCACGGCGTCAACTTAGGAAGTCAAATTTCTTTGAAATCATGTTTGATATGTAATTTTTAAACCAGCAGAGGGAAACATAGTTAATTATGCTACAAAATGTCACTATATGCCTGTAAAACATCTTATTTATTAACCAAGGTTTCTTTGGACTTCTTGTCTACCATGAATATGTATGTCATGTGGGTTGTGACCTGGAAAACATGACTTCTCTAAATAAACACAAGGACTTCTGTTTCAGCTGGTAAAGACATTTTCCTGTTTCTCCCTCCATCTGATGCCCATCCTGTGGATGCTGGAGCGGACACAACCTGTATGTATCTGTAGCCTGTGTGTATACCTGAGGTTTTTGCGCAGAGACGCTGGGTCATTGGCCAGCAGTGTGTTGACCAGGCCGAACAGCTGCATGACTCTCTCGTCCTGCCTCAGGTCCTCGTGGCCCTTCAGTAGGAACATGAACTCATGGCCGTTGCTTCCTGCAGAGGGAGCCACAGTATACTTTATTGATACTTTGCTAGAGCAGGGGTGTCCAAAGTCCGTCATCGAGGGCCGGCATCCTGCATGTTTTAGTTCTCTCCCTAGTTCAGCACACCTGCATCAAATTGTTAGAAGGCCTAAGGAGAACATTGACTTGCTGAAGAGGTTGTTACTACCACTAGGGAGAGAATATCTAATGACAATGCAATATAATATATAATATCAGTGATTCTTGAGAATAGGGACAAAATGGGTTTTAATTTTCCCATATTTTTTTTTTGTGTTATTTCTCAACCTTATGTATGCAAATATGACAAATAATGTTTAGGAAATGTAAAGATGCTAAGGTGCAGGCTCCCAGTTGCAACATTTTTAAAAAAAATATATATTTTTAATCGACCTGACCTAGAACGTTGTCATCACCATCTGACAAATATAAATAAAAAATAATTTTTAATGACCCTATTAGTGATACCTTTACTCATTTAACAGACAAATGCTTCTCAAGAAACAAAATAAATATTATTTAAAACCAAAAACAACAAAAAGGCCATCTGACTGAGTTGACAGTGCATGACTGAGTTGACACAGAACTGAAGGTGTCAACAAATCTGTATAATTTCCCACACGAAGAAAAGGTGAGCACAGTGCCAGAGCCAGAGTAGAATACAACTTCCGAAAGACCTAATCTGTACCCTGGACATTTCTCCACAACACTTTGAGGCATTTATACCAGCAGAACTAACAAAGGTTCTAACAGGTGATGTTACCTTAACAAACTAAAAATAAATGCCTTGCTGAGACAGGCAGAGCTGGACACTCTTTGCTAACAGAAGCTATACTCACTGTGGTACTATCACCATCAATAACCGGGCCCAGGGAGGTCCGGTGCTGGTGGTAATGACCGGACGCAGAGCTATAGAAGTACTTACCAGATCACACTGTCCCACCAGAGGTACCTGTAATTCATTGTTTCGTTTACGAAACTGAAGGCAGCAGCAGCAGCAAAACACCAGCTCCTATGGCCAACTATGTCTTTTTCCTCTGTTTGGTCCTCCTCATTTTCATTACCTCTTGTGATTTCTACATTCCGATTTATTTCAAAGAGCTCTGGGACAAACTGAAAAGGCTTATTAATGTTACTCATTACCGTTTTGGCTGGAGGAGCCAGGTAGTTGGATCATTACATGTCATTTACTCAGAATGCATTGCAGCATGAACAACATGGCGACATTCCTGTGAAAATATTTTACTAAAATTTATAAAAATGAAATAACTTACAGTGTTATTACTGTATTGTTTTTATATCCAAGATAAATATTTCCCAAATAAGGTCTATTTCTATAGACCTTATTATGTCATATATAAAGTAGGAAACTTTAACCTCCACTGGAAAAGCTCAAACAAAACCTGCTTTGACTGAGTGAGTTACTTGTTTGCTGAACTTTTGAAAGTTATTCTGCCATTAATAAGTAAGCAAGTCAATTATATTTATATAGCAGATTTCACAGATTAAAAAAAAAATCACAAAATGCTTTAAGCCGTCTTTATTTGCCTGGTATGTTTGGTCGGTCACTTGTCCTAGACAACACATTTTCTACAAACTGTGTTGGTTTTCTGGGATTTTTTTAAATGTAATTGTTAAGATATTTTAAGATATAATTTTTAAGATATTTACACAAAATATTTGACAAAATTATTTGTAAGGATTCTGTGTTTTTACCATGTAGAACTGAAATTAATAAAAACTAAACTGAAACTAAACATTTATGAAAAATAAAAACAATGCTAAACTAGCAGACAAATGGCTAAAACGAAAGTTACTACTGTAACTACGGTTCTATGAATCC